CACGCGCAGGAGGCCGCTTCCGGATCTCGAGAACGGCTAGGCCGATTGCGCTTAAATTTGGTACACCTTTAGGAATCGCTTAGGAGGGTGCCGAACAAAAGTCAATTGTGACCCAATTGGCACGTGGGCACGCGCAAAATTGCACACGCGCCCAAATTTGGTGCACCGTTGGGGACCGATAGGGTGGTTCGTGCTTAAAAGGACCCTCCCACCTTTAAAAAAGTTAATGAATTGGCATAGAAGTAGTGTTGCATTGTACATAGAGTGAGAAAAAAGGAATATCTACCGAATTTCATCGAAAAATATTAACCGGTTTTTGATATATTAACCTGCACTGGCGGTCGCAGCCGCTAGCAAAAGGGGGGGGCCAAAGTCACACTCGCGGGACATAACATTTATCCGTCACCGGGAGGGGGGGGGGGGGGTGATCGGCTAATTTTTTACGTCCACGAGGTGCCGCGCAGTTGGCATTACTTATGCTTCATCCATCTGATTCTTGCGTGAAATTTTTAAGCTCAATTTAAGGCAAAATCACCAGTTCCATTTCCCGTCCCACGGTGCTTCCACCGGTCGGCCCACTGCACCATGACGACGGATCGGTGTAGCATAGGTATACTGGAAGGTCAGGCACGCGGATTCATGACCTTACCACTATAAAACAATTCGGAAAAGTACAGATACCTCTTGCTTTGAACAAGCATGTGAAACACAGAGAGCATTTTCAGACTATGACATTTACTCATATAGGTAACATACCTAGTTGTGTGGCGGCGGGAGAGAGTAGGTACACCGACCGACCTCTGGAGACCCCCCACAGGTTCCGAGCTTTCAAAATTGGCATCTGAGGGCCGCGCGTGACTCCTGCGGGGCTTCGCAGCGGCTCTATTGGGGCTCACTCAACCTGCCTAGTCTTACTGCTAAAAAGACTGGCCCTGAGCCCTAAGGACTTCATCAGTCTCTGCCAGCCCCAGGACCCACACCGGCTCATGGGGTCCCGACGTCGAAATATGAGGGAATCAGCGCGGGACCATCAGGACGTAAAGCAATCTCGATCAGGACCAACGTAAGGCTGTGCCGGAGACTGCGTGAGCCCTCTGATCTTCAGAAACCCACCCATATATGTTTTCACGTAGAGGTCAGTTTAGGGCCCTCAGAGACCAGTACAGGGCCTGCAAACTACAAAGGCCAGTAGTTTGAGACAATCAGTGACCGAGTTGGGCTCTCAGAGGCTAATGTGGGTTATTACAGGCCAACATGGGCCCTCAGAGGTCAGCGTGGGGCACTAAAAGACCGGCATGAGCCGTCGTTGGACCCCAGAGGCCAGCAGAGGGCCCTCAAAGACCAAGATGGGCCCTCCTCAAATGCCAATGCAGGCCCTTAGAGGCCGGCATCGGGTCTTCAGCAGCCAGTGCGGGGCCCTCATTGGCATCTTAAGGTTCGTCTTGGGACACCACAGACAGAAATAAGGCCACCAGAGACCGGTGTGAGACCCTCAGACGCCGGTTGGGACCCCTGAGGCCTGTTAGGGGCCCTCATAGGCCAGATGTGGGGTCTCAGAGGTTGATGTAGGCTCTTAGCGGTCAACGTGGGCACTTGACCGCCACTGAAGTTCCCTCAGAGGTCAGTGTAGGACGCTCAAAGACCGGTGTGGGAGCTATATTAATAGCTGGGCGTGGGTTTTTTTGAGCTTCGTGACGATCGGATAATTGCCAGGGCCCCATACACCTATATGGGGGCCCATTGGTTGTTTGAGGGGGGGGGGGGCAAATGATATGATGGCCCCCTTTATTGACCTTGGGGGGGGGCATGGCCCTGATGCCCCCCCCCCCGCGACCGCCACTGTGTACACATTACACACATGCCTCTGAGATTACATACTAGCTCATGCAAACTCTATGCAGGCCCCGGAGTTCCCACGCTAATCCTTAACCCTCGCCCGTATTGGTGTTTTTCCAGCCGCGAACGTATAAGGGGGGGGTCCGTTGGACCCCCCCCCCTTGCCGTTTCGCCCCTGATCGAGCTAGAGCTTCGCGGAAAAAACGAGCGTGTTGCCCGTGACGAGAGGAAGCCGATGATACCCAATTTTAAGGTCCTAGGTCATTGGTTGACCTTGCAGGTCAGGTCAATGACCCCAAAGGCGGGAAAATCGGGACCTGTTAGAACGTCGTAAAGTGTAGCTGCCATGGGGTTTTCGGGGTGTTGATCACGAATATCATGTTAGTTTTGATCACAGATGATGTCTTCATGTATTTAGGCCAGGTCGGGTCAGGTCAGGTCAGGTCAACCAGTAAGGGTATTCGTAGTAGGTGGCAACCGCCTCTGACAGCTTCGTAACATGTTACGAAGGCACCAAAACTACTTCGTAAATGTTCATATGGTTGCTAAATTCGAATTCAGCTAAAAAAACTGGCCTAGAAACATGTAAAACTCGAAAAAGTGAACCGAGGTCATCAAAGGTCAATGACCTGACCTGACCTTCAGGTGACCTTGAAATCCACCCTAATGCATGGGGGCAACATCATATCACATGTTTGAACGCTTGAAACCACGAAAAGACTGCAAACGCGCGGCTAATGCGAGCCGACATACGCCGAATCGCGATTCCAGTCAAACATGGTCTCGAAAAGTAGGTCACAGGTCAAAGGTCATTTGGGTCAGGGTCATGAAATTTTCAGGGTAGGTGTGAAATCGATGAACGCGAGGGTACTGAAAGTTTCGTCGCGATCGGCCGCTTTTTACGCGAGTTATTCGCGAAAAACCATGGGGGGGTCCGTTCGACCCCCCCCCCCCCTATACGGGCGAGGGTTAAGAAACCAAGCCGGCATACGGCGTCACCACCGGGCTTCTGAGGTGCACAGCACCAACCCATGAGGTGTTACTTTAGTGTCTTAGAGCCAATCTCCTTTAGCAGGGCCCACCCACCACTGCCGAAGAGGGTCTCATGCCAGCCATTGCTGGGCCTACGAGAGCCTCAAGTAAACCCACGCTGATATTCCATATAAGATCCGGCCATACTCGTAAACCGGTGCCAGCGACGCTGACCACCAAATTGACAGAATGCGAAACTGAGCCCTCATGAGTGAAATTTACGTCCTTTGATGGCGCAAGAAAGAAAATGAAACATACGAAAAAGCTTTTCTAGGACTTTTGTTCGATCTGAAAGGTGGGGCCAAAAGATAGTATGGCCCCACCTTTCAGCACCAAAGGGGGGGCCATGGCCCCCGTGGCCCCCCCTGGGACCGCCAGTGTTAACCTGCGCACCGACGGGTGTCTGCGCCAACTTACAACCGACGGGGGAGGGGGGGGGGCGGATGACCGCCCCCCTGCAATCTCGAGAACGAAGCAAGATAGCGACAAGCGGTAAACGGCATGGGATACGCACGGACAAGGTCTACAATTTTTACTTTGGTAATTTTCATGTCAGGTCAAAGATGACGTCACAGGGGTCAAAAAATTCAATATACTAATTGTATACTAGAGATATACTAATTGTAGCTACCAATGACCTTATAACATCCTGCTACTTTCAAAGGCCTCCGTCATGTACTGTAGCTCTAACATGATGACAAAGTTGCAAAAAAGTGACTTGAGGTTGGGTCATTCGAAGTGACCTGGTGACCTGACCTTAAAAGTTAGGAGGTGGATACTTGTACACCATGTGTAAAATTGATGAGAGAATAGTCATACCAAATTTCGCGGCGCGTAGCGCTGCGGTTTTCCCGCTTTTCACGAAAAACCTAGGTGGGGGGGGGGGGAGCGGCTAACCGCCCCCCCCCCGGCGGTGCGCGGGCTAAACAATTACTATTGTTTATTTTTCGGTGCCTTTGCTGTTCCTATGATGTCATTTGGAAGCAGTAATTTAGTATGTTTTTTTTTTAGCACATCAAAAGGCCTGCTTGATGTACTGAGAATGAACCTTTTCTTCAGAAAGCCTGTTTGATGTGTAATCGGTATCTTTAAAGTGCGGCAGATGTTACGAGCAAACAGCATATACCACCACTGCTTCACAAAGATGTTAGGATAAGAATTTAAAATCGCTTGATCTGTGCTGACGCCTAAACTTCAGAGGGGGCTTTCAAATGCATAAGCCCCTCTGAATTCAAAGTGCTGCAACTTTGAAATTAAATATCTCTGAATTAAAACTTTTCTCGATGTTGTGAGTGCCCAAAACCGGTAAGTGCATTTTGCACCCCATTTTGGCTATCTCAACTGAAAACTAATGTTAAAGGTAGTGTGCCACCTTTGAAAGATTTCCCATTTTATTTTTCCTAGGATAAGAAGCTTCTGTTTTTACCTAATATCGCAAAAAAAAATCAAAAATGGGCCTGGAATAGTGCCTTTTTCGCCTAAAAGTTTTTCGGTTTTTAGATATGTATAACAACTGTAGTGGGCTCACCTGCAAACAGGCGTCGGGCAACAATCGCGAATGCGGCGCACTTGTGACAATAAGCAAAGGTCATTATAGTGTTACGACCATACGACGTACGGGAATGAGTTATCAGCTGTCTAATCGTAGACAACACAATGTCGAGCCTTAAACTGTAAGCCCGTATTGGTATTGTTTCTTTTATTTGGCTGTCGAACATTATTTATGGTTTGAAATATGATTTTATGTAAAATAATTGATATGAAAAAGCCGTCTTATAAGTTATGACCCCATTTCACCACACGCAAGTGGCAGAAATGACAATGATCAGCTGACGCATTTTTCTTGGCCGAAGTCAGAGCGCGCGGCCCGACGCACCACGCGTATTTGGAAATTCCGACCTCGACGAGCATCAGAAGCCACCTAACAGGCGTGTTCGAAACCGCAGGAGATGATGATGAACGGGTTTATCGAAACTTGATTGGATGAGCATATCGGTAATAGCGATTTCAGTGTGTGCATTTATTGTTCATAGTGGTGTGAAATGTGGTTGGGGTACGACCGACAACCCGTCGGGGCGAATTTCGCACTGGGGTACTCAAAATTTGAAGAATTTAAGACGTTTGTTACAGTTTACGTCTGTTACTGTCCGGAGGAAGGAGCCCGCTGGGATACTGCGCGGGATTTGTATGGGAAATGTATTTAGGTCAATGGATGGCTGTGAATGAGGGTTGAAGTGGGGGATGGGGGTGAGATTGCTGTGATGATAATACGGTGATTCACTACATAAATGGCTGAATGAACTTTAAGTTGATTTACTCCGCGAATTACGTCGAAATACGATTCAATGTAAAGTAACGCGACCGTTCTTGCTACATATTTGGTGACCGTGACAGGACACTGGGCAAACCGAAATGGATAAATACGTAGAATTAGCGACAAGACAAGGCTTATCCGGACTGGAAGCTCTAGAATTCGCATCGAAGCAATATGAGAAGGATCAGGAGCGGGAAGAAAGAAAGCTAACAAGGGAAAGGGAGCGTGAAGAAAAGGAACTAGAGCGTGAGGAAAGAGAGAAGGAAAGACAGTTTGAAATAGAAAAGCTGCGACTTTTGGATGGTTCGATGGCCAGCAATGGTACAAGAACGAGTAAGAAGCTTCCAAAGCTCCCTCCATTTGAAGAAAATGGTGACATGGACATATACCTGACAAGATTTGAAAGAATCGCCCAGTCTAACAACTGGAACAGAGAGGATTGGGCGGTATCATTGAGCGCTCTGCTCACTGGAAAGGCTCTGGAAGTCTATCATCGTTTGAGTGCAGACGAGGCTGATGACTATGAGATCCTCAAGGAAGCACTGCTAAAGCGGTATGGTCTTACTGCTGACGGTTTTCGCAGACGTCTGCGGGAATCGCCTCCGGAAGAAGACGAGACACCGGAGCAGTACATAACACGTTTGTCGACATACTTGGATAAATGGATGTCCCTGAGTGAGTTTCCGACATCTTTCGATGGTCTCAAACAGTTGACCCTAATTGAACAGTTTCTATCGAGCTGCCCAAAGGAACTCGAGCTGTTCTTGAAACGAAACGGCCATAAAACACTAGAAGAAATATCCAGCGCTGCCGAACAATATCTAACGGCCAGTGGACAAACCCTGCACGGACTGCGCGCAACGGAAAAGGAGGCTATCCAGAAGCGCAGCTGGAAAACTTCGACACAGCCAACGACGACCATGCTGCCTTCGGCAGCGGCCCTTCAGGTATCGGCAAGAGCGCAAAAATGCGCGTTCTGCACGCTCGGGCATGAGACGGCACAATGCAGAAAGGCAGAAGCACTCTCGGTGGACGAGCGGCGCCGTCGGCTTCTCGCTGTCGGAGCTTGCTTCATCTGCTTAGGTCCTCATCACATTGCACGAACATGTAACAACGTGAAATGCTGCGAAAGGTGCGGAAAGCGACATCACCGCCTGCTGTGCACCGAAGAGGAAGCTGCACCCATCGTGACTGCTCAGTCCCAGGTTGAAGAGAAGGAACAAGTTCTTTTCCAAACAGCTAGAGCGGTGGCAGTCGGACCCGCTGGCAAAAGGAACGTAAGAATTATCCTTGATACTGGTTCAAACCAGTCATTTATATCAACATCTCTCTCTCGGGATTTGAAATGTCAGCGGCTTGGAACCCAGCGCAGAACGATCTCAACATTCGGTGGTGATCGCATAACCCACAAAACGATGAACTCTGTTTCCATCAAACTGATGAACTGCAGTGACCCGACCAAGTCTGTGACTCTGACAGCAGCGGAAACTGAGCAAATATGTGGCCCCGTCAACGTCAAGTCAGTGGACTTGAACGACTATCCACATCTGAAGCACCTGACCCTAGCTGACTGTCCGTCTAGGTGGCAATCAGGAGATATCGACATACTGATCGGTATGGATCACTATCAAGATGTCGTGAATGGGCAGGTGAAGACCGGAGAGCGTGGCCCGATGGCGTGGGAAACCATATTTGGATGGGTTCTAGGAGGACGTGCTGCTGCCGATGGAACAGCTGCGAATGGGCAGGTCTTGTTTCTTCACACTGGAACTCTCCGAGAGGACATCGAGCAGTTGTGGGCGCTGGAAACCATCGGCATAGAACCACCGACATTCCCATCGAAAGTGAGTGAGACGCAAGCCGACAAAAACAAGGCCGTCGAACATTTCGAACGAACATGCACACGGGACGCAGATGGACGATACCAAGTTCGCTGGCCCGCTAAAACGGATTTCGATGAGCTCCCTACAAACAAAGACGTCGCACACCGACGACTGGAACGATGTGAGACATCTCTCGACCGCTCTGGCAAGCGGCAGGAGTATGATCAAGCCATTCGACAGTACATAGAGATGGGTTTTGCTGAACCCGCCCCGGTGGTTCCCGACGGACCGGTGCACTATCTCTCGCACCATGCTGTATACAAAGGTGACAAGATCCGCATCGTTTTCGATGCATCAGCAGGAAGTCCTAGGTCTTTAAACGACATGCTTTTGCCGGGACCCAACATGATAGCAGACCTCACCGGCATCCTCATTCGCTTCAGACTGAACATGGTGGCGGTGTCAGCAGATATTGAGAAGGCGTTCCTTCAGCTGGCACTCCATCATCAAGATCGTGATCTCACCAGATTTCTCTGGCGAACGCCGGACGGGGAAGTGACCACCTATAGGATGACGCGGGTGGTGTTCGGTGTAGCATCATCTCCATTCCTCCTACAGGCTGTCATAAGACGACATCTTGAAGGACAGCCCGATGAACTGAGGGACACGGCTGATCGACTAAAACGTGACGTCTACTGCGATGACCTGCTGACCAGCATGGCAACCGAATCAGAAGCAAAGGTCTTCGCCCAAGAAGCAAAGGAAGTATTTTCGACGGCAAAGATGAACCTAACAAAATGGAGGTCAAACCGAAGCATCGATGTGGCAGGAAGCTCGGACACGGCAAAACGAGCAAGTGAGCCAGGTATCCTTCTAACGACCAGTGACGGAGAGCCGACAAAAGTGTTGGGAGTGAGATGGGTACCGCACGAGGATCAGCTCATCTTTCAGAGCAAAGATCTATATGATTTGGGGATGCAGCTACGGCCTACAAAACGGAACGTGTTGAGATTATCAGCTCGTGTCTACGACCCTCTGGGTCTTATTTCAGCGTTCACCATGCGTTGCAAGATGCTGCTGAAGGAGCTGTGGACCCTCGGTACAGCCTGGGATGAAGATCTGCCGCTCTCGTCAAGGCGGAGTTGGCTCGAGTGGCTGAATGGTCTTCGGTCTCTCGAGGCACTTCGCATTCCCAGACCGTACGTTTCGAACAACGTGGAAAAGTTCACCATCCACACGTTCTGCGACGCTAGCAAGACTGCTTATGCTGCAGCAGTATATCTCCGGACATGCGGTAAGACCAGCCCTGAAACGCGCTTGATCATGAGCAAAAGTCGGCTTTCGCCAAGTAAGCCCATGGCTATCCCACGCCTGGAGCTCATGGCCGCCGTTCTTGGATCGAGACTAACGGCTTACGTGATTGAATCACTGCCCTCCAAACCTCAGGACGTCCTTCTATGGACTGATTCTGCTGTGGCGCTGGCCTGGATCCGAAGTGATCCTGGCCGCTGGGGGGCGTTTGTCAGCAACCGGGTAACTGAGGTCCAGCAAATGTTTCCACCAGCAAAGTGGAGGCATTGCCCAGGCGAGTGTAACCCAGCCGATCTGCCGTCCAGAGGAGCATCCGCAGACAAGCTTGGCGAGCCTTTCTGGCAAGAGGGACCCAGCTGGCTCCGAGAAGAAAGGGAAGAATGGCCTCCTCAGCGTGCCTACGAACCCAGCGAGTGCAGAGCGGAGGAGCGGAAAAGTGGGCCCGTGATCACCATGTGTTCCTCCGCGAGCCAGGAACCAGGTGTCGGATCACTTATGTCTGCAGAGAACTACAGTTCGCGTAAACGGCTGCACCGGGTGACAGCTTGGATGCTGCGATTCCTGGCCAATACCCGGAAGACGGAGCCGTCGACAACGGGCGATCTGACTGCAGAAGAGCTCAACCGAGCAGAAGAACTGTGGATACTGGAAACACAGAAAACAGCATACGGACCAGAACGGGAAGTATTGATAGCAGATCAGGCCGTACCTCGGACATCACACATCTACGAGCTAAACCCATATCTGGAGAACGGAATCCTCCGGGCGAGGGGACGACTACAAGAATCGAAGTTGAACGAAGACGAAAAACATCCGATCCTGCTGCCGAATGATGATCACTACGTTCGGCTGCTGATCCAAGAGCGACACGTGGAACTATGTCATGCGGGAGTGCAGCAAACGATGTACTCCATCCGTGACAGGTTTTGGATACCAAAAGGCCGACAAACGATTCGCAAGGTTATACGAGCATGCCCAAGGTGCCGTATTTTCCATGCAGAGCCGTTCACGCAAGAAACAGCTCCCCTTCCAAGAGAGAGAGCGTCTAGCGGAACCCCCTTCTCACAGCTCGGAGTGGACCTCGGAGGACCTATCTTCGCCAAAGACGGCGGCAACATCGTCAAGACATACTTTGTCATTTTTACGTGTGCGGTAGTGAGAGCCGTTCACATAGAGCTGGTTAAAGGCCTCTCTACAAGGGACTTCTTACAAGCTTTCGATCGATTCGCCGCACGAAGAGGAATGCCGAAAACGGTGACAAGTGACAACGCAACAAACTTCAAGGGCGCAGCAGCACACCTCGCTCATTCCGGAGTAACCTGGAAATTCAACGCACCCCGAGCTCCATGGTGGGGAGGTTTTTATGAGCGACTCGTGCGCACAACGAAAGAGGCTCTGCGCAGAACGCTTCATAAGAGTATGCTCTCATTTGAAGATCTGCAAACTCTGCTGTGCCGCATAGAAGGTGCAATAAATGCAAGACCGCTATCGGCGTTGAGTGAGGACATTGATGACCTTCGGTCACTGTCTCCAAGGGACTTTCTACAAGTCCCTGCACTGGACGAGCCCGATGTCCCGGGTTTGATTGAGCCTGAGAGCCAGAGCCGAGTGCTCAGGAAGCGCTGGATACATTGTCGTGAGGTTCTCGCTCATTTATGGAAAAGGTGGCACACAGAATATTTGCGAGAGCTGCGGATTCCTCCCCGAGAAGAAAGAAGCAATCCAGCTATCGGAGATCTGGTAATCATCAGAGAAAATCCGTATCAGTCCCGATCACTCTGGCCAATGGGAAGGATAGTTGAGCTTCATCCAGGCAGAGATGGACTGACACGAGTCGCGACCCTGCGAAGGGCAGACGGCACTACATCAACGCGGCCTGTACAGAGGCTGCATCGTTTGGAGTGCGGCTAGGCCTCAGGATTGAGGAGACTCCTACAAGGATGCCGGTCAGCACATGCCACTGTGTTCTATCGGAACGGATTGAGTGAAATTGTCATTTCACCGGGGGGAGAATGTTACAGTTTACGTCTGTTACTGTCCGGAGGAAGGAGCCCGCTGGGATACTGCGCGGGATTTGTATGGGAAATGTATTTAGGTCAATGGATGGCTGTGAATGAGGGTTGAAGTGGGGGATGGGGGTGAGATTGCTGTGATGATAATACGGTGATTCACTACATAAATGGCTGAATGAACTTTAAGTTGATTTACTCCGCGAATTACGTCGAAATACGATTCAATGTAAAGTAACGCGACCGTTCTTGCTACAACGTTTCCATGAGTTTTGAAGGTATGGATAAGTTCTAAAAATCCGGTTCTCCTTATCTGGGCCATTAACTCCATACGGTCCAAGAAAGCTGGCACACTACCTTTAACCCTCGCCCGTATTAGTGTTTTGCCAGCCGCGAACGTATAAGAGGGGTCCGTTGGACCACCCCCTTTGCCGTTTCGCCCCTGATCGAGTTAGAGCTTTGCGGGAAATACGAGCGTGTTACCCGTGAAGAGAGGAAGCCGATAATACCCAATTTTAAGGTCCTAGGTCATCGGTTGACCTTCCAGGTCAGGTCAATGACCCAAAAGTCGGGAAAATCGGGACCCATGTTAGAACGTCGTAAAGTGTGGCTGCTATGAGGGTCTTCAGGGGGCTGATCACGAATATCATGTTAGTTTTCATCACAGACGATGTCTTCATGCACTTAGGCCAGGTCGGGCCAGGTCAGGTCAGGTCAATCAGTAGGGGTCCTGCCGGGTATTCGTAACGTGTCAACCGCTTCGGACAGTTTCGTAACATGTTCCGAAGGCACCAAAACTACTTCGTTAATGTTCAAATGGTTGCTAAATTCGAATTCTGCTCTACCTAGAAACATACAAAACTCTAAAAAGTGAACCGAGGTCATCAAAGGTCAATGACCTGGCCCGACCTTCAGGTGACCTTGACACCCACCCTTACGCATGAGACCCACATCATATCACATGTTTTAACGCTTGAAACCACGAAAAGACTGCAAAACGCGCGGCTAATGCGGGCCGACATACGCTGAATCGCGTTTTGGGTGAAACATGGTCTGGAAAAATAAGTCACAGGTCAAAAGTCATTTGGGTCAGGGTCATGAAATTTCAAGGGTAGGTGTAAAATTTATTAACTCAAGGGTACTGAATGTTTCGTCGCGATCGGCCGCTTTTTACGCGTTTTCGAAAAAAAAAAATAGGGCTTGCATCAACTTAGAGGTTGCATCAACAAATCTGTGCCGGCGAGGGTCAATCGATCTAGCCTGTCTATCGAAAGTCATTGCTAAAAAAAAACTGTTGGGGAACTTTCACGACCTGAGACGACCTCAGGGACATGAGGATGGGTCAGGGCGCAATTTTTCGATTCAGGGTGTCGAGTATAGCTGTTTCCCGATATTTGACGTTCGTCCAAAACATGCGCCTTTTAATTTTCTCCTCCTGGCTTGAAATAGAGAGGGCGCAAAAATGACCTGACCTTAGGTCACATGTATGGAATTTCCGAGATAAATATCTTATAGATACTGTTATTCTCTCACAGACCTATTTGAAAAAATATGTCAAGAACTATGTCAATATTTCTTTTTCCTCTTCAAAAGAAAAGAGCCGGAGTCGCCCCTTTTTTTTGACGGCTCCGGCTCCGAGCTATGTTGTTTCACGGCTCCGGCTCCGGCTCCGGGCAAAATATGCCGGCTCCGGCGGCTCCGGCTCCAGCTCCGGCTCCGGCTCTGCACCCCTGGTTTCAAGGCGATCGTGCAGTCTGTGTCGCTATGACGATTGAAAAGCACTCTAACTTTTGAGGTGAGGCCACTTGACGTGACTTGGTGACCTGACCTTAAGTGACCTTAGTCTAAAATTTTCACAACACGTGCAGAAAAAAGTTTTTGAGATACTTGCGAAAAACCACAGAGTGGTGTCTAAACATCCCCCGGCCCGTCGTGGATTAAGTAGCACGGAAAGGAAGCCCACCTTAAAATGCATGTTTTATCGATTTAGTCTTCATATGATCATTTGTAATATAATAATATAGTTTCCATAATAATAGTAAAATAATTTCCATAATAACTTTGAAGCATACTAAATCTGTGGTACTTTTATAATGTTAGGAATACCTAGCTCACTAATAACCGTTTGAATATATTTCGTTTGCTGTATCATTTGACGGAGGATCCATTTTCTATGTCGTCCCGGAATATGCTGCTAAAAATCAAATCTTCGGAACTGCTACGACATCTTAAGTTGGGTCGTAGGATGAATCCTAGGACTTTTGACATGAATATCAAATTATCTTAAGATTGTCGACGTGAATTAGAAGTATCCTAAATATCCCGACTGATCGTACGATAAAAAGTTAAGATGGTCAACATGAATACCAAATCGATCGTACGATGAAAACTGATCGTAAGATGTCGACGTGAATACGGGCCCAGATCAATAACTTGCTATTTTGAACCACACAAACAAATCTATTTGCTGTAAGTTGAAGCTATAAAACTTAATGCTTTTTCTATTTCTATCAAAAGTAATCTTGATAGTGTTGCGCTGTTTTCTTCTTATACTTTACCTTTTCTTCTTATTCTTTACCAGGGCGATTGGAAGGGCCACATCAAACAACGAAGAGGCAAAGCAGCATTCAGACCATAAAACATGAAAAACAGATACAAATTAGCACACACCACTACTTACTTGGGCTAATGAGAGTCTGTCGAAAAGCGGTCCAACTCTGCAGCGTAGTTGCACAATTGAGAGGAACCACAATGAAAGCTCACCTCTAACTGCCTCTAACTGCTATTTTCTCACGGTACTTGCACTGTCCCTGCTAGAGCCTTTGCACTCGTAAGAACTGGAGACAGAATTCACGGAAGTTCGTGGGTTTCACTGGCTGTCAACTCCCTGGCCTATAAAGGGCTCGACTTCATGGCTTCACTTTTTTCATAGATTGGACGCTAACTGCTCATGGTTGTAACCATGCTCACTTTTCTCAGCCGAATAAGTGGCTGCATTAGTGCTCATGCATCATCATTGAAAATATATTTAGGGAATTGTAACTGCTTGTTAGGTAGTTAGTTGTAGTTTAGTAATACTTTATTAAGACATTGAGACATTATAAAGACTACATAAAGACTCATTCTTGCGCTCCCTCTTTTGACACCCCATCTCCCCTCTCCCGAAGTTTTTTTTACTGCTTTCAATACCTTCAACTTTGTCATCGACTCGTGTAGACCTTGCATTTACCCACAGCTCCCAGTGGGCCGTTATTGCCGCAAACTCGGCGTGTTTGTCGCCTCCGGTCCGATTCATGTGGGCCTCGCGTGCCGGTCGACCGCCGCTCACTCACGCGTCACGGGCCGACCGTAATTCGCCACCTCGCCGCCACCAACAATGCCGCACGGACAAATTTAATCGACCGCCCGGGGTGGCTGCAGGGGTGTGTGCAGAAAGGGGGACGCCAGGTAGGGGTGGGGGTGAGGTTAAATAAATTTTCGAATGGTGACCTTTCGAGTCCTTGGAGATCAGGGAAGTCTGAGCGGTGTCCAATCACCTCGGTTTGATTTAGATGGCCGTGCAGTAAATAAGTCGAGGCATAGATGAGAGATGATGATATTTCATCTATGATCCATGCTCAAGCTAAGTCGCTGGCCCACCCGGCTATCTCTGGGTACGGCCCCGATTGCAGTCTGAACACTGTTGCAGCTTCATAACTTCAAAGCTTCAGTGAAAGTCAGTCCAGTCAAAGCCCATCCGTATTGTAGGTTGACGCCCACAGGAGCACCGCGCCCTTATACCTACGGTTCTTACTTCTTGCCTTTTGCTACATAAAAATACGCATACTGTCTTCCCCAGAGAATGTTAACACATTGGCTCGTGCACACTGCACAGGCAATGCTGTATCATATTCCGTTTTTTCACCCAATCTTTCTGAAAATTTGCTGTTTTTCGTAACCTTCATAAGACGAATGTTTATAATTTCCTGAGGAATTTACATAAAAGGAATTTACTGTTAATTGGTTCTTGCAAATTGCATGCACGGAGCTGTTGAACCAACGTAAGGACCCAATAGCAGTGCTCGCTTCAATACGTGAAGCAGTACTTCATTAACTCAACAATGATCTTAATAATTTCTATTTGGATTATTTCTGCTGTAAAATATGCACCTCTATTGTTCGGGTTATTGAGATCAGAGGCTGTGACGGCTGCGCGGTTTTGATTAGAAATAGAGTAATCAAATATAATTGGTATTGGGCATGTTCAATCCACATTCCTCATCCTGCTGGCGTACTCAAGAACAATGTGGTCCAGAGCAAAATGCTTCTGAAAATCTGCCTTTGAAATTTGATCGCTATTCAGGTCCTTTCAGGTCAGTTATCGAAAATATTTCTTATACTATTTGGTAATATTCTGCTCAACGCTAGGTCGACAACATATCTGGAAATATCAGCATATTTTGTGATCCTATATTCCCTTTACTTTTTTCAACTTCTGCCCATAAATCACGCCAAGTTCATTTGACGTTAATTCCTGGATCATTGACACTCCTACCTGAGCAACGTGTGTAATTTGAGTCTCAAATTATGCGCCAAGTTTAATGACGGTACCTAAGTTGGTTTCGTGGTTAGTTGAGGAAGTACGAGTAACAATTGTGCTTGGAAGTGGAACGTCCCATGTTTGAAGGCTCTGATATTCTCTGTTTCATCGCTTCCTTATTTTTGAAGAATGAATCATGTGCTGCGTGTCATTTTTTTTTAGGTCTGCCAATGGCTATGAATAGTTATATAAGCTCTTGGTCTTTACGAATGAAGAGGAGTCAAAGATCGCGCCTTTTCTCTAGAAGGGCTCCGGTAAATTGCATTCGAGCATCCTTTCCCAACAAGCCGTCCCGAGCTTTCATTAACCCGCGCCCGGCTGGGGGTCCTGGATTTCCACGCCCTGCTGGGGGGGGGGGTGTTTGAACACCCCCCTTGTAACTCGGCTCCTGGGCCACGTAGCGATACGCGGAAGGCGGCGTTCGAAAGAGCGTCAAAAATAATGACGAAATCACTTTGGTCAACTTTTTGGTCAGGTCAAAGGTCAGGTCACCAGAGGTCATTGAAGGCAAAATTTCGCCGATTTCCAGGTCGAATGTCGAAAATTTCCAAGAAGCCAACGCATAACTCGAGAACCAATAGAGCTACAGCGCCGCGGAAAAGCGCATTCGATAGCCCTATTAAAGCCCTTTCTGAGTAATTCCCTCAGATTTGACCTAACGTCAACGGTTTTG